CTCGGAGCCCAGGCATGCTTCCACTGGGGCACATTCGGGTTTACCCTTCGGAGCTCGGACCTCCCGGCTCCTCCGCCCAGGATCACCCTGTTTGACAGCGACTGGCACACAGTCCTGCGGGATTCTTCCATTGCCTGTGTTGTCATGCTGCTGGGAAAGCCCGATGTTTGTCTCGAGGGTCCTGGAGCTGCTTTGAACCTGTTGAAAGTGAGAGAGAAGCCGGTTATCACACATTTCTACCTTAACTAATGATGATGCTCTCGCCCAGCCCGCCTGCGCTGGGGTCACCTGCAGCCTGACTCAGCACACCTGGGGGAGTCCCTGCCGAGGGAGGCTGTGGGTACAACAAATCCACATGCACTCCAGGGAAACCTCGATAAACACTGGGAAAGGACAGCCACAGCCAGTTACCACAAGGGGCTTCAGGGGGAGTGACAACTCTATGTGGAGTCTGTGAGCAGAGCCTGGGATTTAGTTTGCGATATGGCAGGAGGTCAGGCCAGGGGGTAAATGCAGGTGCTCAAAAGAAAGATTTACAGTATGGGCTGAAGAGTTGTAGAGTAAAGCACTGGGCTGTCAGCCTGCTGTCTGGAGCTTGGACACAAGATACATCCTCGAGTTCAAGTGGATTACACCTTCCTTTGCGAGGAGCACACTGCAGCACGGTCACAGCCCCAGAAAAGCTCCCAAATTTCCTGCCGGTGAATTCATGTACATCTGTCAGCTCAAAGACCTTGTACCAAAAGCAGGAATAGCCACAGAATAATTTAGGAAGGGACCTCTGGAGGTCACCTGGCCCAGTCCCCTGCTCCAGGTAGGACCAACTTCAAAGCTATGTGAAGATACCCAGGGCCTTGACCACTCCAAGAGGGTGAAAATCACTTTATAAATTGATATTGAATGAGGCAGCAAGGGCTGCCCTAAGATTAGTGTTCAGAGCAGCACAAAAATAGGCTGAACCAAGCAATTAATTTTAACAGAGAACTTCTGGGAGGAAAAAGACAGGTCAAACAATTTAAAATCCAAATTACAAGAAAAATGACCAGAGGTGGGAGGGGTTATTAGAATGGAAAGAAAGCCAAACTTCCATTCTACTCACATATGTAATTCTCACTACATATGATCTCAGCACAGACTTTGTCTTTTTTTTTTTTTTTTCTTTTAATTTGTATTCATATAACCTCTGGACTGCACACTTCAAAAGAAAGGCAGAGATTTCCTAGGACATATCTCTTTTGTCACTTTTGCCCAACTGCAACTCACTTGTGATCTCACAACCTTAATTGCAGGCAGTGCTGTATCAACATTACACTTACAAAACTTCTGGCTTTGGATGCCAAAAATCTGCTTTGAAAAACACTTATACAGCAATGACTTATCAGAAAAAGATTAGGCTGCTACAATATATATTTTTTTTTTGAGGCAGAGGAGGGAAGATGTTAAGCTAGTGTGCCCTAGAAAACATCAATAATCTGCATTTCAGGCAAGCAGTAATGATGTTAATTTAACTGTATAAAAACATTCCAAGGATCAGTGCTTATATTTATCAACAGCATCACAGCACCGTCAGACACCGATTACTGCATTCACAAATCCAAAACAAAATGAACATGAACAAACAAAATCGTCATTCCCATTTTGAACCAGTCCTGCTTCCCTTGGAAACAAGCGGATAAAAGAGCCCCGCAGACACATACCTTGAGCAGAATTGTGTTTCCTTCATAGTCCTGAGTTTGCCACCTGGAGCTGCTGATGGGCACGCAGGGGTTGGGCAGCAGGGGCACCAGCTGCCCGATCTCCTGCACCTTGAACTGCAGGGCCGCCGACTCGGGGGGCTCGGCCGTCACCCCGATGGGCAGCTGCCTCAGGCACAGCTGCACGGCCGCGTGTGGGCCGGAGTGCAGCACAAACACACACTGGGTGCCCTTCTGCACGCTGCCTTCCCTCTGCAGGATCAGCTCGTACAGCCTCACCGCGTCCTCGAAGTTGTCGAAGCTGCAGTGCAGGGTGACGCGCAGGATCTCGGGGCCGCGGCGCACCCGCCTGATGCCCCACACGGGCAGCTGCTCCTCCAGCCCGTAGTATTCCTGCTGGCATGGGGCACAGCGGGAATTGGCAAACTGGGCACGCTGGCAGCGCCAGGGAGGGCGCTGGAACTGCTCGTGCACCTGGAAGATCCGCTCTTCTCCCAAGTCCTCGAGCAGGAAAAGGAGGATGGAGATCCCAGGAAAGCTGCAGCTCCTCCTGCGGTATCTCTCGTAGTATCTCAGCGGAGGAACTCGCTCTGACACCAGGAAAAGGCGAATGTCCAGGCAAAGCCACTCCAGAAGCCTATCCAGAGTTTGCTGCAGAGGGATTGCGCGTCCCAAATGGGTGAGGAGATGCACGGTCATCAGAGACTCTGCTCCATCATCCATCGCAAACACTCCGGGCAAAAAATCAAACCAGACAAATTGGTGCCTTCCTTTTACTCTGCCTCGGGAATTGTACTCTGAGCCTTGAAGAGAATGAGCCTGAACTCCCACAGGCTTTGCAGTAACCAGATGAAACACGTGGGTCAGCACATTGTGCCCTAGAGGGGCCAGGTGCAGAGTGACAAGGCTTTAAGCGAGCAGTCCCAGGTCACATCCCAGCGGAGCTCGGCTCAAGGCTCACTCCCAGCTCTGGAGCTCTGGGCACTGGGTGTCTGTGACCCAAGCGTCCAGGAGCAGCACTGCATCCTCCTGCCGTTCACAACACAGGACAGCAGAGTCACCAGCGGCGATTTCCCAGGGTGAGGTGATGCTCACTTGTCTCCCGGCAGTGGAAGTGGCCGCTCCGGACCCAGCCCAGTCCCACCGGTGCAATCACTGCCTTTTGCAAAGCCCATGTGGCGCTCATGGCTGAAACGCTCAGCAAATTTCCTTGTAGTCAGCAGGCTGGCTCTGGCTCATTGTAAAAAGCCTGTGATCTCTGGGTCCCACCCTTCTGGGGCACACAGATAAGCTGTTCTTTGAAAACAAGGAAGGAAAACAAAGTAACAAAAGAAAAAACCCAACCATGTGAACATAACAGATAACAATAAGGGCAGATATAAATCAGGAAAGAGGAGCTTTGGGAAAAAGCCTCTATTCCCAGTTACACCCTTCACAGCACAGGTAACTTCCTGCCTAACTGGAAACCAGGTCCTGGGTTACTGTACATAGCCCATAAAAGCTGGGTACCAGGCTTCCCATTCTCAGTGCCCTCTTTGCTTCTTTTTCCTCCTTTACTTTTTTTTTCCCCTGAGATACCCATATAATCAGCAGCCTTAATCCATGTCCAAGGGTTTTTTTCTTGCTCCTTGGGTTTACATATTGGTAATTAGCTTACTGCATAAGCTACAATAGGAGTGCTGCAAAATACACTGCTTTCCAGCTCTCTTCTAGTGTGGACAATAAATCACACTGTCCCTTCATCCCCCTATTTGCCAGCCCAGCAGCAGCACAATACAGGTCAGGCCAAACCCACTTCCTGCCCAGAGCTACCCCCACTGTAGCCAGTATTTCAATCAAACCTGGGGCCTCTGGTGATCTGTGCAGCCCCATCCAATTAAAGGCAGCACATCTCTCTCTGCTGACATGCCAGCTTCCCTCCAAACAGCCAAGCACACAAAGCAGTGGTTCACTGTTAAGAAATCCCAGCATCAATAAGTCTGTTATTCAAAATTCTGAAAATTCAGAACTATTTTTTTTAATATGACCCTAACTTTATATTCAACTAAGTAAAATCTCCAAGGTCTAAAGGTATAAGCAGCAGTGCCTTGGTTTGCTGTAGGGAGATCTCTCCCACTGGTAGAAACACACATTCATGCTTTAAAAGCTACACTGACACCTATGTACAATAAAAATTAAAAAAGACTGTCTAGAAAACGAGGAAAAAGATTCTTTTGCACCCACCTGCAACACTTCAAGCAAATAACTGCTGTTGGGAGGGAGACAAAAACAAAATTCAGCCTTCAGACAATTGCAGGAAGAGAGTGAAGAGTGCAAGTGCTGAAAACATTAAAATGCTCTAGATGAGCTCTGAACAACACAATTTCACTAAAATATGGAAAAGGAAATGATTCATCAACTCCTTGCTACAGGGCAGGGTCAGGCAGTCATCTGCCTTCCTGCCTGTGAAGAGCAGGGGAATTTGCCTGTACAGGAAAACACTGAAACACACAAAAAACCCTGAAGAAAGTCAATTCATCAGGCCTTGGGTTGTGTCTGGAAGCAGCTCCCGTGAGCAGGGTCCCCTATTCCCAGCCCAGGTGAAGATCCTTGGGCTGCTACAGCACCACAGCCCCACTGCCCCCTCCCTGGGAGAGGACCCCCACTCCTGCCCTGCAGACTGCTTCTCTCTCTTGGGGCACTGAGGAGGAGCAAGGCTCTCCTGGTGCAGAGCCATCACTGCTGCCTGGGCAGCTCTCAGCCCCAGCCCTGCTCCAGCCTGCTGGGTAAAACCTGGTGGGCAGCTGCAGCTCTGGGGTGAGGGTGACAGAGGATGAGCATTCTTGCAGAGCAAGTGGAGAGCAAGGGCTGGTTAGGGAATGATGCAGAAACCTCGGCCCTCTCCAGCTCCTGCTGTGGCCATGGGGAGCCAAATTGTTTTCCAGATGGGTAGGTTCCTCCCCACAGAGGCTGCTGAAGGCATGCAGCATCTCTCCTGTTTTCCCAGCAGCCAAAAACCTGAGCCTTACTCACAAAAAGGGCTAAATCCTGAATCCTCCACCATGTGTTTCTGCTGTGCTTGCAGGGGTGAGACAGGGAAACAATCTCAGCTCTGAAAGGAAGCTGTCTGGAGAACAGTTTTAGGGCTGGTTCTCAGCTCCCCAGCAGCTCTGGGTCAGGGGCACCCACCAATCCTCCTGCAAGGAGCATGGGAGTGAAGCTCAGCCTTTGTTTGACCCTGTTCCTCAGAGGAGGGCAGCCCCACCACCCAGCTGAACCTTCCTGTTCTCTTCCCCTTGCTCTGACAACTCAATATCCTTGGGGAAGGGCCCAAACCAGGCTCCTCAGCCTCGGACAAGGGTATCCTCATGCCCTCCCTTTGTGTCCAATCTGCCCCCAAACCTTAGGACAAAGCCTGGGTGCAATGGCCCTCCCTGCTGCAGCTGCTGAGCTCAGAGCCTTCATCCACTGCTGGGCTCAGGGGAACAGGGATGGCTTTTGCTGGGTCATCTAAGAAAAACAAAGTGCTGATTTCACTCTGATCCTGAATGGAATGAGTCCTTGCCTTCCTCTCTGCCTCCCCTTCCCCCAGCTTCCCAGTCTGGCTGCCAAAGGGAAAAGCACATTTTTCACAGTGACCTACTGAACATGCCAAGAAAGATCTCTTCAAGAGATTAGAAAAATAGCAGTTCAATGGTATGTGAAAAGTGGCTTTGCTGAGGGGAGGAGGGGTGAACAATTCTGATATGGGACTCAAAAAAATCAGGGCCCCATTCCCACCTGGCAGTGACTGGTAACACAGCAGCACATAGAGGAAGCTGTGGGGCACTCCAGCTGTGTGTAAGAGCAGGACAAATATGAACTGGCACTAATGCAGACACTGGTAAGCCCTGCACAAATTCAAGTCCAAACATAAACAACTAATAAACACTTTATGGTATGAAACCTCAGAGAATACTGCCTGCTGGAAGTCTAAAATTCTACAGTGGAAAGGCTTTTAATTAATTTAATTAAAAATTCCTTTTCATAATCAATTCCTGAGTTGTGTCTAGTCCTCTGCACTGTTCCAAAGGGCAAAGAGCCCTTTGCTCCAGCTGACACCACCAAAACTGATGATGCATCACAGGATTTAATAAATTCAGAGCAACATCTGTAAGGAAGGTACTTTACAAAGATTATTAGAACATAATTAACTGGAGAGAGACTGAGTATGTATTACCTAAGCACCTTGGGAGAAGGCCTCATTAAATACATGACTCAGGCTTCCTAATTTCTTTTAAAAACTTTCTTTTTTTCTTTTACACCAATCTCAAGCTCTGCCTATAACAAGGACAAAACTACTAAATTAAACTGTAGATGACAGTTATATACAGCATACACAGTACTGGGATAAAAATCAAGATTAAGGCCTTACTTGGATACAAAAATCTTTTCAGAGGTTGTCTCTGGCTTCAAACCCTGTGACTCTGATCCATCACCACTTTGGAAGAACTAAAGACTCAATGACCAAAAGATCAAACACCATCTAACCTACTGCATTTATTTAAGTAGACTTCTTTCCCAAGCTATTCTTATTTCTTCTTTTTAGTCAGCTATCAGAAAGTAGTGATCCAGCAAGGGTCTGTCAGCAGGTGATGCAGGGTTTGGGGCAAGAGCAAGGCTGAAAACAGCACTGAGACACAGAGATGAGTTTCCCAGTAGTAACAAATACGTTGTAGAAAGGCAGTGGATGGCCTTGGGCTGGTTGTCATACTCAACTCACCAGGTTATGTGTCCTCAGCCAGTTACAGGGCACTTTTTCCTCAGTTTTCAGTCAGTTCCATTTTTCCTCAATTTTCAGTTTGTCTGAAATATTTTTTAAAAAACCCAATACACTCCATGCACCCAAACCAAGACCCACTAAAAGTAATGAGCCAATTGGAGGTTGTACCAAACAAATATTTCTAACAAAGATCAGAGGAGGGGTCAGGTTGGAAGGGACTTGATGGAGCATCTGGTCCAACCTCCCTGGGCATCAGTTTCTGCCATTGCCTCTTGTCCTATTGCTTCACACACAGAGCAGAGCCTGGTCCATTCTCTTGACACCCTCCCTCCAGTCCCTTGTAGACATTGATTTGATCCCCTCTCAGCCTTCCTGAGACTGAACGAGCCCAACTCTCTCAGCTTTTCCTGTGGTGTCCTGACTTTGAAGAGCCAGCATTTAGCACTGACCCGAGATGGCATCTCCAGGATCCCTCTGCCACATCCCCAGTGTCACCCTTCCACAGGTCAGAGTGGGACAAGGGGGAAGTCAGCTTGCTACATGTGAATTTACGTGCCCAGCTCCAGGGACTGGTTTCTGAAAGATTTAATGTTTATATACATTACGCCTCAATTAAAAATCTTCCAGCAAAAGAACACAGGCAGATCTGAACAAACCCAAGACTTGCAGGGCCCAGTGAAGTGTTTGTTTAACCAGCTCACATTTGGCACTGTTGAAGGGCACTCAGAGCAGGATTCTTGGAAGGCCAGCAGCAGCCCGGGTGTGACTGCTCCCTGCTGAGTGCTAATAAGAGGCAGTCCCCAGGAGGTGCTGACCCCGCCAGCCAGGCCAGCTCCCGCTCAAGGAACAACACAGACCCACCCACTGTGAAGGCTTCTAATTACTCCCCTTCCTGAAGACAGCCTTCCTGAGATACAGAATAATACACCCAACTTGTAATTAAAAGAGTCTTGGCCTGGATCCCACATTATTCTGGAATTGCAGATTTGCATAATTAAGTTGATACCAAATGCTGTGACAGACAAGCTGCAGGAGATTATTAGCCTCATCTTTAACAGAATTTCAAAAGAAGCAAGATCCAAACAGCCAACAAGTATTAGCAGAAGTGGCTCTTCAGGTCTAGGAAACTCAGGCATTACTGGGATTTGGGGCATGTTCTGGTAACTTTGCAAAGGAAAATCTGCACATGAACTCCAAAGGCATTGTAAGGAACCACCAGGCTCTAATGCAGCATCACTCTGAGGCTCCAGGACTTCTTATTGTGAATTTTTCCTCCCAAAACCAGGACTGCTAAAATGAACTCTATTCATATACAGGGGCTGGAAGTTGCACTTTCTGGTGGATGCCCCTTTTCTCCCTCCAGTTTTACTCAGGCAAACAGGAGCTCTCCAGACAATTTCCTTGTCCTGTCTGCAGCTAGTCCAGGTCAGCAGTTCCAGGACTGGGGAGGTGAATCAGGCCTTTCCCTCCTGGGCAGCAATTTGGCTCTTGCTTTAGGACAAACAGCTACTGAGAGCAGGCAGACCGTCAGGCTGGCTCCAGACACAGGCAGATACTGATGTGAGGTATTAAATTAATATTAAATGCAGTTTGGGGGCACAATCTATGAACACTTCCCTGCACAGCAAAGGACAGAAAAGTGGGTGAACTATTGTCCTGTACCTTTTATCCAGCTTTCATCTGGATATGTAAGTTCTGCATCTTACAGTCTTTTCAAATGAACATTCCAGAGGACAGAGGAACCATTAAACTCACACTTCAAACTGAGTACAGCGGTTATTACATTTACTGTCCAAGCTATCAAAATGAGAGTTTCAACAGAAATTCACCTTTGTCCCAGACACCCACAAGATGATGCCTGCTGTGCACATTATTTAGTCCAGTTCCAGGCTGTCAAACCAATGCTTGCTCTACAGGGCTCCGTGGAAGGGGGAGCTCAGGATCAGAGTGCAGCTCCCCCTAAGCACCACGAGGAACAAAGCAGAGCCACAGGGTTGGATTGAGCTACAGAGGTTCTGGCCAGTTTTGGACATGCAGAGGCCACAAGCAGTTCCAGTTTTTGGTACTTCTGAAAAGACTGGAACCCCATCTCTGTGCAAGCTTGTCTCAACTCTGCATTATGAAATATTCTATTACCATATATACATATATATATGTAAGTGCCACCCATCAGGTACTACACAATTTGATTGCAATTCATGTGAATAAAAACACTTCACCCACCCAGCATATTCAGTGCAAAGTTTCTGTTTCCACTGTGTGAGGGAAAGTAAATCTGACACCAGTGGCTGATTCTAAATGAGCAGCAGCAAGTAGAACAAATTGTGTTGCATTGGAAGCTTCAGGGTCAACAGAGCAAAGTTGGTCTTTGGAAAACAGGAAAGACATTGCATTCAGGAGTAGTTTAACATCACAGATTCGGTCTGCTTGGCATTCATTTATTCTGTGAATTGCCAGGGGGGAGTTTGTATGGATTAATTCCAGGGGACACAAAGAGTAAACCAAAGCTGTAAAGGTAGTGAACATGGAAAAGAACAAGAACTGCACCAGGGATCCATAGGATCATCACATTGTTATGACAGTAAATCAGGAATA